AGTTCACACACCTTGCTGATGAGAAAGTCTGGAGCCTGTTAGTTGAGCAGACAAACTGTTAGAATTTACTGAAGGAAACGCTCCCGGTGACCGCGCATGACGGCTTCGGAGCTCGTCGATAAATTTGTGCAACTGTTCAGAAGCCACTTCCAGGCGTTCACTAATCCCCGCAGCACTGGCTTTTTCAGCCAACTCTTCACTGATTGTTGCCAGATGTATACCAGGCTTCCCCAGCGATTCATACAGATATTCGATTTCACGCCAAGACAAATCGCGCTTTGGACGCCCACAACGCATGCAATTAGCAGACCACGATGCTATCGGACGACTGTCTTCGTCGCGAAAGCGATAGGAAGGCAAGTGAAAATGTACAGTTTTGGATCTTTCCAGAGCAAAACGGTTGTTATTGCTACTGGAAGTCGACGGTGTGCTACAGCACGTACCATATCGCGATCCTGGTGATGTTAAAGACAGGGAAGAGACCGATGCTCGACCATGGTCCTGACCGGAAAGCCGCGTTCGCTCTTCACGCCAACGAGCGACGATATCTTCATCATGCGTTGGAGATACGTCATTAGCGTATCGACCGACACTCTTGCTGCGTCTAGGTAGACACTCATATTCCAGACGCGATTCCGTTCGTGATTCTGATCTGAAAGTCGGAGTGTAGGCACCTGCAAAAAATTTCATTATGCATTTGCAAAGATTTGAAAGAACATGAATAAATGATGGTAGAAAAAAGAAGAGCGCTATTTGCAATAAAAAAAGAACTAGATGTTCATAAAGATATGGTCTTCATTGAAAAAAATCAAGTTAAAACAGTAATAGATTTAACATGAATAGATAGGTAACTTGTGACTCATTATTCCTTTGAAGAACTGACTTTTCCGTGTCATTATTTCAACTTTACTTTTCAACAGGAAAACAACAATTTTCAAAACATTAGAAGAAGTGTAGTAGAATAAGCGATGATTTAATAACTATCATGGTTTCTTTTCTCAACTAAACCATCAAAAAATTGAAAAAAAAAACGGAACTTGAAAAAAACTGAATGGCTGCACAATTACAAGCCT